GCAGAGGCTGCCTTCATGTCCAACATCAGTGTCTAACCTCACCAATGCAAGATGGACCCTAGAAATTATGGAAGGTTCAAAATCAGCATAAATAATAATCATAAACCTTGAGGAAAGCCTTCTCTGAAAGGCTGATGGTGTTTATAATAAAATATCTATTAAAATTTGAATATTCATTAAGTTCAAATGTCCATGGCAACAGATAATTAAACCCTTTTTTACAATATAGTGTATTTGAAGATGAAGCACTAATGTTTTTAAGTCACAACCATTCAGGAATTCAATCATGCTGAAGATGTGATAACTCTTTAAAAAGTATGTTTATAATTATAATTATTTTTCTATGTTTTAGATTGCTTATAATTCCAACTGAAAGGGAAATATCAAGCTATAGTTACTAAAATTTAAATACAAGATTGAAAAAAATGTAACAAATTAACTTTTAGCATTGTTCTGCTTAGCTGAAGAGCTACAATATTCCTAAATGAATGTAGAGTTTTAATTATTCCTCTTCAATGGGTAGACGATAGTGAATTTTCATGAAAAGTAGACAAAATTATTTGAGATTTTCCTTGAGCCTTAATAAATATTTAATAAGACCATTCCTCACAAAATGGATAGGCAGGTTACAAAGGGCAAGGATGGTGCAAAATTGTTCTGTCACTACTTATGTAAGGACATATTTCTAAACGAAGGATTGACGTGTTATTGTCAAACTGTCCGACTAGAACTGCTGTTACTTATTACACTGCATCGTAACTTGGAGGAACATTGCATAACACAACCTTCCTCCTGTAATTCTGTTTTTCCAGTGGGACTTTGAAGCTGCAGTTACACAGTGGAGTAAACCAGCCTCGAAAGCACAGAAAGGGAACGAGTTCACCCTGCAAGACTGGCCTACAAACCCGAAGCCTTTCAGTGTCTGCGTTTGCTCCATGGCTGGACTTCCACAGAAGAGTCTGTGTTCTGCGAAGGAAAGCAGCTCTGCTATGAGCTGAGCTTCTCTACAAACACATCTGGTGTAATCTGCTTGGCATTAATAAAACCAAAAGCAAATGTTGATTATCTGTGATTTTATTGCAGTTTATGGTTCACAACATAACACAAAGTTACCTCAGATTACCTGTTTGAGATCAGTTGTAGTGCCACATCATAAGTTTTTTTTTTTTTTTTTTTTTTTAAGTTCAGCTCATCATTAACCCTCTCATGCATGAACTATGATAAACTCGCAATGTTTTCACTTAGTGTTTTCATACCTCCTTGGGAATGGAAAACACTTTTATTCTATAAAGAAATATTCTACTCCGCTTATGTGTACTTTTTGCATTTTATACTCTAAAAAAATTAAAGTATTTGCATAGATATATTTGTAATTTACTTTTTAGGTTGTAACATGGTATTCTATTGGAACAGTGGTTCCTCTACCCGCCTGTAGAAACTGAAGTAGCAGAGGTGAATGGGATTTTTCTGTATGGGATGATGCAATAGCTTCCACTAGAATGGACAATATGCATAAATGCCCAAAATTGAAGGCATATATATATATAGAAAGAAACACTTTTAAACAGCTGTACACTGTAGTGATCACGATGAATGAAAGGGTTAAAATGTCATGAAAACTTCAAATTCAGCAGAGGAATCCTAAAAGTGAAAGTTGTTTGGAAGATTGTACAGTGATTCGTTTCAGACATGTTTACCCTACTTTGATGGTTATTGTAGAAAAGATTATATATAAATCAATTTTATTTATTTAGCAAATAATGCAAGAAAATGTTAATAGGATTTTTGATACAGAATGTGATCTGGAAGATAGCTGACCTGTTTTGGCCCTAAATTCTGCAGGGAGGATATAGCTGTTGTGTTTTGTCATAAAGTTTAAAAAAGCAAAATTAAATATGAAAAGTAGCTAAATCTAAAAGAGATTTATAACTAAAATGTTAAATTTGAATAATATGTAATTCTTATAACTGAATTACCGGAAGATACTTAACAATTTCCTCTTTTTTGAGACATACATGCAGTGGTAAATGCCGCCACTCTTTAGCTCCTGAGAACTTCAATCTCTTTTTGAAGGATTACATTGAACAACACCCTAATAAACAATTTCTCTCCCTCCTACCGCAGTCTAAGGTTATTCGGTCACATCCTGTATTTTGCCACTGGTCGTGGATTATCGGCGCTGGACTGGGAAAAGGGTCAGAGGAGCAGATAAGGACCAGACTGGATGGCCAGAGCTTATTCATCCTCGCTATTTTTTATCAGGCCTCAGCCTGTCAGTTGGCTCAGAGCCTTTATGTACAAGATGAGAACAACTTAATCTGTCTTTTTTTTTTACTGGGGGAATTTAAAGAGCTGATAACTAAACAATACAAAGAAAAGAGAGGAACCACATAGAACCCCTCCCTGTTTCATTTTTGAAAGTAACTCATCTGTTTGAGGGAAAATAACTTGGAAACAGCTAATGAAATGTAACAAAGCAACTGCTGATATCAGCATTAGATGCTATATTAACCTAAAGCCTTCCTCTGCACAGACACATGACCCAGAGGATCAGCAGGATAAAAAAAAAAAAAAAAAAAATCTTTAATATTCTTGAAAGACTTTAAAATATTCCACCTTTCTTAGAAATCCGCTTAGGACTTAAATAGAATTTTTTCTGAATAATCTTAAATGCATCAGAAATTAAACTGGACCTCAAACCAGTCAGATTCCAGTGTCCAAAATGAAGTTGACATTGCTCAATCCCTGGGCCTCATCTCTGATGCGCCCAAAGCAAAATATTCTGTTTGGGAAAAAGTGGGGAAGCGTCTGGATTAGCACACTGAAAGCAGCAGCGGGGAGCTGGCCTCTCTGTTTGCCTTGGCTCGTGCGTCACTGTTCATCCAACTGAGGAGGACGAGGAAGACGCAGGAACGATTTGAACCTTCCGGACATTTTGTTGTAAGTGTGGGAGAGAGGGTGCTGGGAAGAAGTTCGTAGCCCACATAATTGGAGAGAAAAAAATCAATCAGAAACCAAGCACTCATGAATCAGTAATTAACTGTTGTTGAATAACTTACGGTTATGTAACAGTAAGTGGAAAGGAACACTTCTCAGAATTTACTTTCAAAGATTAAAATATGTTAGATAAAGTTCAACTTTAGAAGCTTTGGCAATTTTTTGTCATTTGAAATGTTTCTATCTTGATCCATTTATATGAAATAAAGGTTTTATCCCAGCAATGAATTCTACTTTTTTAGAGGTAAAAAAAAGAAAGAAAAAATAGGTTCAAATGTATTTAGCTCCCTTATGTCTGATGCCTCCAAATGGAATTCAGTGCAGCCAGCTGGCTTCGGAAGTCACCTTATTAGTAAATTGCATCCTCCTGAGTGTAATATAGTCAAAAAAGAGCATAAAGGATTTGTGCAAGAATGGCTGTAAATACTCAGTATTAAAAAGAGAAAAATCCAAGAGGCCTTGTGTAGCTCTGCAGCTGCAGATCTGCAGCTCAGGGGTAAGAAGCTGTTAATAGGATTGCTGCTAGTCTTAGACTCTGCATATATAGTCTTTATGGAAAAATAGCATGAAATCAAGGGACCAAATCTGTGGTAAGGGCTTCTATGGACAGACGAAAGCAATTTTAATCTAATATCAGAAGTAGCACTGTACATGATTCAAGGCCCAACGTCAACATAAGACCTGGTGGTCGATTCATGCTTTGGGGATGCTCTTCTTTAGCATGAATTGGAAAGTTCATCTCATTTGTAGGAAGCTGAATGGAGCAACAACCTAAAAAAAATCTTTAGTTTGAGGATCACCCCCGTTTCATTACATATATTGTCAGAGGTACATGGTTAAGGACAATGGCTGACAGATTTAAACATGTTTAAACAGAAAAACACTGCAAACAAAAAATGCTGCGATCAAAATAGAAGCAAAAATTACAATCAACGAATCAAATGCAAACAAAAAAGGTGCAACCACAAACAAAATCTGCGAAGCAAAAACAATATTCCACAATCACTGAAAGAAAATGATGCAAATAGTACAAAAAACAGACTAGCTACTTTTAAATATGTACTATCAATAACTGTGGATAAGTATTTTTCTTTTAATTTCTTCATCCAACTTTTTTTTTTTAATCAACGTTAAAGCTTAACTTTGTGTTTGGAGGGTCTGGATCTGTACAGAGGTTTTGTGATCGCAGCATTTTTTGTATGCGGCTGTAGCCTTTTTTTGTTTGCATTTATTTTGTTGATGGTAGTTTTTTACTTGTCTTTTTAATAACTGCAGTATTTTTTTGTTTGCAGCATTTTTCTGTTGCTTTTTTGTTTTTGCATGTTTTAAACTGCATCATATGCATGTTTGCAGCTTATTTTGCCTTTTGCTGTGCGTTTGCACCTGTTTGCAGAACGTTTCTTTTTGTTTGCAGAGTTTTTCTGTTTTTTGTGCATGCGCGATTTGGAGATGGCGTCACATGTTTTTTGCAGCTTGTTCCATCATTTGTTGTCAGTTTGCACCTGTCGGCCACGATAGGTTAATATTAATCCATATTTATGTATTAGAGTAGCCTAGTCAAAGTTATATCCTAAAACAAGATTAGAAAATTGAGCATGCTCACCCCTAATAGAGAATTGCTGCAGCAGAAAAATGTTATTCAGTAACAAAAAAAAATTTATTGCACGCCACACCTTTCAGATTTATTATTGTAAAGCTTATCTTGAATCCACTTATAATGTTCCTTACATTTCCACAGCCACTGCATAGTAAATTATTATTTTAGATAGGCATAATATAATTCTGAATTTCTCTTGGGATTTTTTGTGCATGCATTTCTTCTGCATGCAAGGCACCATTACTTCAGGCTCAACATCAGGTATAGTTTCTGACAGTTCTTATTATCTGCTGCAGTGACACATGTGAGTGAATGAGCCCCCCTGTTTTGACTGTAACAATATTTACTTTGGGCTGCTGATTGCGTGGTTATCCGTGATGTCAGGAAACGTCACTTCCTGCAGTCACACAGCCAGTTCAGTCCAGTTCACCCTGCTGTAGTGTAGTAAAGATCCGGGGTCCGTCTGTCAACACACGGCGAGGCTATACCTCCCTGCGCTCCCGCTGGCTCTCTGCTGCTGTCCAAACACTCTTCTATTTAACTCGAATAGCTTCACGCTTCAGCGACGGTTTCCCCCAGATAACAGAGACTCTCCTCTCAGTATGACACGAAGGTGATCTTCAGAGTTTCCAGGTGGTTCTGGGTGAGTCTGTTAAGCTGAAATCTGCCTCCTTCATCACCACCATGTGTTACCATCTAGCTAAAGCTAAAGCGGCAATGTTAGCTCAGTGATGCTCCTTCTGCTGTCTTTCTCTTTCTCGAGACTCGTTATATAAACCGCGTTTGTTATTGAAATGTTTCATTAATAGAAAAAAGGGAAGAAGCTGAAGCATGGAGGACACATGGAGCAGGTAGACTGCTAACATGTTAGCCATGCTAGCGTTAGCCAGCTAGCACTGTCTGCCAGTCCAGCAAGTCCAAAAGTTTGGCTCCTGACTCGAATATTGGTATTGAAATATTAAGTTTGGAGTGATTTAGAAATGAGAGAAAAAAAAAGAAAAAAAATTTTTAACGGAATAAAAGCTAATATGTGGGCGTATCTTTTATTTCGGATATTTGTAGGTATTTTTGGGTAACATATTGTAGAGAACTTTAACGCGTCTGAATGATTAAAACCATGCTAGCGGTTTTAAGGGGTGGAAAATTACAGCATCTTGGACGATTAACATGTTCTGGATTTATATTACAAGATTGTGACCTAAAAAGAATTTATCCTATTTTCCCCCAGCATTTAACGTGAGCTGAAGCCGATCTGATCATTTTAAAAATAATGTACTTACAGCATTAAAGTATTTTAGCTGATTAGGAATTTTAACACTTTAAAATAGCGATTAGGATTTTTAATTCAGGTTTAAAGTAATTTGTTTTTCCTGACCAAATCATAATAAGAAATATTTTTAAGTAAATATGCCTCCCAAGTTTAATTTAAAAGGCAGTGAAACATGCTTTTTTTATAACAAAAATACACAAAACGTATTGATGTTTCTGATATCAATACGATTTTTAAAACAATAAATTGCCATATTCAAAAAATTATTAATCTATTTCATTAATGATATTTGCAGTCCTATTACAGGTTATTAGGTGGTTTGAAAAACACAACAGCCCTCTTGTCAGCCTAATGTAAACAGAACGTTTCTTCTTATATTTAAATAATTTATAATTTTTTTATATATCTGAAACATTTTGAAAGATAGAGGATATGTAATCTTTGAATTTAACATCTGTTGTTGGATGAGATCAAAGCTGTGTGGGTTAATAAAACTTGTCACAGAACAGGTTAAAAAATTCAGAAATTTTAGCAAATATTCAAAGGGTTGTCTAAAGAAAAAGATTAAATTGGAAGAATGTATTTATACAGCCTTTTTTTTCAAATTTGACTTTTAGATATTAGATGTGTTGACTTGTCACATTAGTAGGTTTTATCACACGAAAACTGTTTGTTTTTTCTACCTTTTTCTGTTATAACGCTATCTTGGGGGAGATTGCTGTTTAAGCTTAGATGTTAGGTTTAGGACTAAAGAGTGAATTTAGTTTTTTAATGGTTAGGTTTAGGGTCAGGGTTGGGCTGTAGAAATAACCTACACATGAATGGAAGTCCATGGAAAGTCCTCACCGGAATAGAGAAACCCGATATATGTGTGTTGGGGGGGGGGGTTGAAATGGCAGGTTTTTGCCTTTGAAAAATTTCCTGCTGACATCAACATGGGGATGTAGCTCCCAGGTTGTGAAATCAAAGATTTGTTGATTGCAGCAAAGATAGTGGCCATATACTCTTATATCGTGATAGGTTAGTAGTTGTTACCGATTTGGAGTATTTATTTGTCTTTGTTTACTTGTTGTATCAGCAGTGCTTGTATCCTGTAAGCATACGTTTAGTACTGAATCTATGCTGTGGTTACTTGGTGGGTCAGATGCTAAAGGGTTTGGGAACCACTGCCCAAATCTATGCTATGAGAAAGCCCCTAGTGGTTTGTGGTTGTGATTCATTAACAACATGCATCTACTGGTGTCATCCTTTATTTCTAAAAATAGTAAAGGTGCAAACATATTGATACAAATGAGAAGTCTTTCTATGATCCTATGATTGCTTGGGAGTTCATGTGTTATCTGGATCTTTAGAGTGATTAATGAACTGATCACTGTTTTACATGCATTTACCTTGCTGTAGGTGTTTTCTCGCAACAATCATTTGATTGATCTTGCCATATATCAGCTTTTGGTACAACTACGAACATCATTATAATTACAGAATATTAGGCTTTTTGTTAAACAGCTAAACTGTTGATATGTAAACTTTGAAAAACCAGTTTCAAATATCTTTCATACCTGCGGTGTACTTACTCTACCCTAAAGGCACGTTTAAAAGTTTCAACAGTTAATAGTTTCATTGTTTGAAATTATATTTATTGCAAAAAAACAAAAAAAAGATTTTGTTTTGCAGTTTTGTTTTAAAAGAGTAGAAAAGGTTTTTCTACTCTTTTAAAATAAATCAAACTTGTAGGCATCAGACTGGTTCATAATTGGACATTTGCCCAGTTAGGCTGAAATCTAAATCATCTCTTGAAGCAGTGTTTTTTTTTTTTTGTTAGGTTAAGATTATCTGTGACTCTCACAAACAGATTTTGGGTTAAACTCTGTAGCCACTTTCCCACTGAAAACCCAGATTTTTCAAAACCAGGTTGACCCTCTAGCAATCGGCTTTTGGCTCTTTTCCCATTTGAATGAAAAGCTGAGTCTGACTGATGTTCACAGTGTGACAGAAATCAGGGAAGTAATTAATGGAGAGCAACATTGACGGGAGCAAGCGTGTAGTCAGTATTCTTTATTATTTTGCTCCTTTATCTTTCCCAAACCCTCTTACTACTTGATGTGTCCTATTTATCAAATGTGAACTGAGTTGCTTTGGCTTGTTGGATCACAAGCGACTGGCATGGTGTGTTGACGTCCATATCTTGCGTTCAGTGGTGTCAAGTAATTTAGCTGGTCTTTTACCACAGCACGCCGATCAGAGCCGAGGTGATTTTAACACGGGTCGCTTGCCAGGTCATTTGACCCAGGTAGACAGACATGAGTAAGCTGTTCCCATTGCTGCTAAAAGCTGATTCTCCCAGGGTTTAAATTAGTTTTTCGGCCAGTTTTGGTAGGGGTTTATATCTATCGCACCTGGAGAGCTTTCAATGGGAAATTTTCCATGACAATTTCGTGGTGAACCTTCCCTTTTAAAATATTGTAAAAGTAACAAAAAAAAAACAAAAAAACAAAAAACTCAAATTGAATGTTAGATTATTTTAATACATGAAATAACCAAGGACATGCTGGGTACAGATAACTCCTTGATTTTGCAGAGAGGTGCTGATACAATACAAACTACCAAATCTTGGTCCAGTTTCAGTTTTTTCATTCATGGTTTTTTTTCTGGTATGAAATGATCCTGTCTAATGTCATTATCTCATTGAGATCAATCTAACCCGGGATTTCACTGGATCTGATAGCGGCACATGTGCGGCACTGTGCAGTTGCTGTTGGCTTCTGTCAACCACTAAACACCAATGGAAGTGTTTTCAGAGCAGAATAACTCTGTCTGGTTGGACTCGGAACACAGTTCAATCATTGTGCTATAGTAGTGTATTTGTAGGTTTTAAATGGAAAGCTGCAGTGAGCTGTATTCAAATTTTCTGCTGTTATGTTCAAATGAGGGCCGACAAGTTTGAGTGAGTTGGCCTTTTGATTTAAGGCCAATTTATGCTTCTGATGCATGACCTCTGCAACCGTCAAATCTGTCTCTGTGTGACTACGCGTCGGACGATCGCAAACCTCTAGTGGAAATTCACAGACAAAAAGCAGCTGTGATTGGTCCTTGGTATGCCTTTCTGGCTGTCTGTGTGGTCGTCCTTCTCGATTCGGTGCCGCAACGCGCCATTTTTAAAAACCGAGGAACACTATAATGGCTAACTACGACAAAATGTCAATCGAGGAGGTTTGGAAGTACAATCCGTCGAAGTTCTTGCGAGTTCTCGAATAGGCTCCCCCTTGCGCTTTGGCGGGAAACTGCTGTGTGTCCCTAGAAATTCCAGACTGAAGGCGCAGAAGCATACCAGAAAAACTGGTTCGCAACTAGACGCAAGCAACATTTGATGTGTGTGGTTGCAGAGGTCTAATCTGCAACCACACACACTCTGGACATCTTCCCTAGTACATATCAGCACAATGAACTTTTCTCAAATCAGGCAAATCCAGCATGTTTGATTTTCTATGGCCAGTATCCAAATGCTTGGTGTCTTAATTTTGCCTCGCTAAGACTGTCATCAGCTCACTGAGGCAGGTGAACATGCTACAGCCTCTACAGAGAGCAAGCTTTGAGAGAGAAAAACGATTGATCGTCCACTCGATGCTGGTTAGGTTAAAACTTTTAGAATTACAGTTGACTTATGTCGATACCTTGACGTTTCAGGAGCGAATGGGTTGCAGGTACAGCGTTTTAAAACACATCTGCCTCCCTATTTGCATGAAAATATGAACCCTGCACCTTTAAGACTGAACGCATTGTTGCCAACTCTGTGACATTGTTGATACACTTAGCCATATTTCACACACCTTTAGCGACAAATGTAAAAACCATTTCCTGTCTTGCTGGAGATTTTGACAACATGAAAGCAGATTTTGGTGTCTTCAACAAAAAGTGAGCGTTCCCTCCCTCCTCCAAAACACAGAGTCAGACGCAGCAGCTGCAGCCCTTTTCTGCAGTCGGAGAATGAACATGAGCCACACATGTGCAAAACTTCCACCGAACACCCCTGAATTACAAAGTGGGAATGTAAAAATAATGCTTTGCATACTTTTTTCATTACACCTGTTACAATAAAATAGATCCTCCTGGGATTTAATTGATACACAACCTCATCCACTGACTGCCTCTTTTAACTCTTTAAATTAAATTAGATTAGATAAAATTGATTTAGCTTCAGTTCAGATTGAAATAAATTTCATGAACTCTAGAAATTGTAAGAAGTTTATATTGAGTTTTAAATGTATCTAGTTTTTATTTTTATTCTCATGTGTGATGTTTTCTAAGTTGTGATAATCAGCTAACAGTTTTAAAATGAAGGAAATCGCCCAAAGTGATCTGCCGATATCCACACA